ACACACTGGACCTTTAAGTGCTGCTTAGGAACTTAAATGAAAACATTTGATTTTAGAAGTTAAGATGGTTTGCTGAACACTCTGTTTTAACTTCTAGAATTAATCGCTATCAAAGAACAGGACCCTGGTGATTCTTCAGTGTGGTCAGAGACACTGTAATACATCCATGTGTAATGAGATGTTTCCAATGCACCCTGCATGCCTTTTTGGGACATTCACATCTGGTTCTTGTAATACAATATACCATGTACAGTATAGTATCTACAAAAGTACATGAAGTAGTATTTAGCACTTCATGTCATTGTATTCTGAACAAGATGAAAACTGATTTGTTTTTTCACTTTTGTGTGTGTGTGTGTGTCTCAGGGCCATGTAGATGAGATGTGGGGGCTGGCCACACACCCCTCTCAGAACATCTTCCTCACCTGTGGTCATGACAGGCAGGTGTGTTTGTGGAACACAGAGGAACACAAGCTGGACTGGTGCATTACCCTGGAGGTAGGACTCACTGGTCCTCATCGTCCTTCACGCAATGAACGTATTTACATTTGAGTTTTATTCAACTACAAAGACTAACACATACTGTTAACTTGTCCTGTGTGTCTCTGACAGGAGTATGGCTTGTGTGCTGGTTTCTGCCCTAATGGATCAGTGGTTTCAGTTGGCCTCAGCACAGGAAGGTACTATAAGTCCCAGCACTATTATACTTATGGACTGAAAGTACTTACACAAGATAATGGAAGACATTGTAAAAACAATGCACAGTATAAACATTTACCAAAAGGTCCAGGACATGAAAATAATTTTTAAAGGTTCTGTATGTACCTTTTAGAAATGGCTCTTAACAGTGACACCAGTGGCCGTCAAATGATCCTGTTGCTCGCGCTCGTGAGCGGCCATCGTCCTGGGCTAGACTGAACGCTGGAAAATAAATGACTACATATTTAGAATAATGTTACTATGTGCAATGTTCCTATATTTTATTGGGACCATTGACTTCATGATGCTAACTAGCCCGCCGTTTACAAATGACCCCATCAGCCAACAGCACGAAGCAACCAACACCAGACGCATTGCTGTGGACACAACATGTGACATATCATCCCCATCACTCTTTTCTTTTTTTTTCTGTTTTGGTCTCCACCATCTCCTGAGAGAGCATTTAGCAGATAAAGAGCCAATATCTGGCCACTGTGTTTATCAGCTAGTCTCTGTCTCTGTCTGCTGTTTGATGCTGAGCAGGTAGTGTACAGTGTCTTTATCAGACAGCTGAAAACAACTGCCTGCTGAAAACAGTAAGCTTAGAGAAGCTAGAAATCTCTGTAGTGCTGAGAGCAACTGTAGACAGGTCGACAATTCCCTGTATCAATATGAGGGACTCCTTTTACATTACACATAATAAAAATATTGATTAGTGCAGCTTTAACATGCAGACACAAGGTTGATATCAATGTGGAATATGATACAATAAGGCTTTAATAAACTTAATTGTAACAAATGGGCCTCCTGCTGTGATGAATCTTTACTTGTAGTCCTGATGAACCTCTCCCATCCCCCTGTAACACTAACAGGTGGCTGGTCCTGGACCTGCTGACCAGAGAGGTGGTCTCTGAGTCCACTGATGGGAACGAGCAGCTGTCTGTCATGAGATACTCACCAGGTCAGACTTCACTGCCGGCTCTCTGTATTGTTATTGCTATTAATGAGCTTCTTCACTCTAAACACTTGCACTTTCAGATAGTAGGGGTGTAAGAAAATATCGATATACTTGAGTATGGCCATATTTTGTTGATATTGTATTGATTCTCAAAAAACTATTGAATTTTGTGTTTAAACTTTTTTGCCAAATTATAGTTCTGAATATACTGTATGTTTTTTTTTTTCAATATACTTATTGTTATTGGGGATTTCATGCCTTTATTATTTAGCGACAGTAGAGAGATGACGGGAAATGAGGAGATAAAGCAATAAAGGTCCTCGACTGGATTCAAACTAGGGGAGAATGCAGTTAATGATTGGCACCTTGTAACCCCTAAAACACATGAATGCTTCCACACTAGAGCTCTTTGCCCGAACCTGATTGGACTCAAAAAGGCCAAAACTGTTTCTGTCATTCGGGCTCAAATTTTTTTTGGGCCCCCATCAAAAGCTCTACTCTGCGCCCTCCATCCAGTCTTGTGAATGCATATGCCAGGAACACTTTGAATTTCTTCAAATTTGGCACAAATGCCAACTTGGACTGGAGGATGAACTGATGAACTGAAGTTGGTGGTCAAAGGTTACTGTAACCTCACACAACATGTTTTTGGTCATAACTCAAGAACTGATGCTGTATTTCACAACTGGTCGGACAATGAAAGATGCTGTAATTATGACAAAATTTCATACAGAGCTTTAACAGGATACAAGGATAAAGTGATGACATTTTTTACCCAAAAGGTCAAAGGTCAACTTCACTGCAACATCATAATGTGCTGGAAGTACACTTTTTTGCCCATTATTCAACACTATACCTCAGGAACAGAAGGGAGATTCTGACCATATTTCACAGTTGGTCAGACACTGAATTGATGACACTTTTGACTTCAAGGTCAAAGGTCATTGTGACCTTAAAATAGGGTTTAAGCCATAACTTGAAGGACCAGTGTGTAACATTTGGGAGGATCTGTTCTGAAAAAATAATTATAATGTTCATAGGTATGTTTTCATTAGTGTATGATAGTATTTGACTTTGTTTAATGTAGAGATGGGATAAGAAATTACCCAATTACATTGTAATTACATGTTAATGTCTTTAACCGCAAACAGAGGATTAACATGCAAACATCGGAGACAGTGTGCAAAGAAATACACAACATTACAGGAATTACTAACTGTAAACCTTCCTGCAACCCAGCAGAATAATTGATCTGGACAGCCAACTGAGGAATGATGACAGTAATAACATAAAAACACATCGAGTGGTTGAGGCCAGGGAGTTATTTCCAGATTTGCAGAGATGTGGAAATCCCCTTAAACTGTGAATGTTCTCTCATGTTTTCAGATGGCAGCTTTTTAGCTGTTGGGTCCCATGACAACTTCATTTACATCTACAATGTGACGGAGAGTGGCCGGCGTTACACCCGCTTCGGGAAATGTAATGTGAGTCAAATATCAGATCCATGTCTAAATGTTCCCATTAGTTCCTCGGCTTTCCTCTTGATTCAGTCTGACTTTCTGTAAGTCTGTATTGTTCCATGTGTGTTCAGCCACGCTGGCTATGACTGCTAATGCTAAAAACCCAGTTCTTCTTCTTGAACAAAGCAAAGAATATCAGCAAATTTAAAGTCTGGTGATATTCTATAGTTTTCTTGTAGTCAACAAATTTCCACCTAACAATGAATGTGTCTACTTACAAGTATTGGGTCAAAGGCTGATATATCTTCTCCTCTGTTGCCCCAAATAATCAGTAGAGCACCAAATGTGAATTAAAACTGCAGTAGATAATTTTTCTACAAATAACGTTTTGTCATATTTGCTGAACATTCACTATATCCTGACAGTAGTACATGAGACAGATAATCTGTGAAAAAAATCTGGTTCTTCTGGCTCCTTCTAAACCTGCGGAAATGCTGTAAAATTAACCAAACCTTAACCCAGCCTCAGCCCGATGTGTCACTCTACAAAACTGATCAAATCAGAGCTTCAATAGGAACCAATGGGTTTGGAGCAGAGAGCCACAGACAGATGGGGCAGTCAGAAAGCGCTGAGAGACACACTAACACACTGTTGTTTTGGGATTTGCTGACAATCCTCTAACGGGTTGGTCATATAGCATTATGTGACACTACCTCTGCTTATCTGTCCAATCAGGGTCACTCCAGCTTCATAACTCACCTGGATTGGTCCAAAGATGGAAAGTACATCATGTCTAATTCAGGCGACTATGAGATCCTGTACTGTAAGTGAAGACTTTTTGTCCTTCAGTCCTCAGACAGTAAGACAGTGTACTGTTGAGACTCTGAAGATGAATGTGTTTTGACAGGGGACATAGCGGCAGGCTGTAAACTGCTGAGGAACCGCTTTGAGAGCAAAGACAGAGAGTGGGCCTCCTACACCTGTGTGCTGGGCTTCCACGTCATGGGTGAGAAATGGAATGTTTTTGTCCTTTGGTGTGTTGGGACTGTTGTAGCCTGAACAAGTCAGACTGATGAGTGCTACTGTGGTGTTCCAGGTGTGTGGTTGGAGGGTTCTGATGGTACCGACATCAACGCCCTGTGTCGCTCTGACAGTGAGAGGATGGTGGCTGTAGCTGATGACTTCTGTAAAGTCCACCTCTTCCAGTACCCCTGTCCTAAACCTAAGGTACGTATAGGTCACACTCACTTCCTGTTTACTGTGGCTGCTTACACACGTGGAGCAAATGTTTTTCAACTTGCTAAATGCTAGCTAACTAGCTAGCTAATCTACATCAAGCTGACATTAGCTATCAGATGTAACAACCTAGCTAACAATTAATGTAGATTAGCTAATTAGTTAGCTAGTGTTTTGATAGCTAGTGTGGTGAAAAAAAGTGGACTTTTTTTCTTTCCTCTCCAGGCACCGAGCCACAAGTATGATGGCCACGGCAGCCACGTCACCAACGTCTGCTTCACTCATAGCGACTCCCACCTCCTCTCCATGGGCGGGAAGGACACCTGCATCCTTCAGTGGAAGGTGGTGGGAGGTGGGGTGGGCGACAGCAGAGAGAGACTGGCCTCTGCCTCATCCACCTCCACCAGCTCTCCAGAACCTGCCACCAGCTAAAGGAAAGTTGTGGACAGTGACAGAGGGCGGAACTGTTTACACGCAGCCAGAGAGGCGTGTTCGTCAGCAGACAGCGGCCGCAGTCGGGCCTCTGCGGTGCCACTGCTGTGTCGGTTTCATACAGAACATGTAGAAGAATCCTCTCCAGGAGGAATGTCCATATTAAATTTACATTTACACGCCTCCATAGTCATGTAAATCCTTGTGAAACTGGACAGTGTGATGTGTGAACCCAGAATCTCTGTCGTTCTGTGATATGTGGCGAGGATCATTAGAAGTGGTTGTGTATGTGTGCTCGTACAGAACATGACTGGACTTCTGTGACAAAGACTTTGGTTTCAGTGAACATTCCTGCGTTTTAGTCCATCTTTTTTATCCAACTTACCAAAGTGCTGCATCGTGGCGTTTGTCATTGGCCTTATCAAGACGTTTTCATCATGTTTTTACATATTTTTAATATCTGAAGCAGTGTTTGGTTTACATCTCAGCTAATACTGAATCTGTTTTATGCTTGTGTTAGACTGACTGTGACAAACCTGTTCCAATGAAATCATTTCTGACTAATTCATTTCTCTAACAGTAGAGTTTTATATATTTAAGAGAACATTGGGAATACTGTGATGTTGTATCTGTCAAGCTCCCAATAAATAACTGAAGACTGGAAATTGTATTGTGTGTGAAGTGTCACTAGTGGGCAGTGCTGCTCCAGGAACTGTGTGCTGTGTTCCAGACCAGAAGACTGAACCTTAGAAGTATAGTCGTAACTTGGTCTTCCAGTTCAGTTCAGTTAATGAAACTTGAGTAAAAACTTAGCTGATAAATATATTTTTTATAGGAGAAGATAATGGGTGAGTAGGTCAGAGACCAGCGTCAGGACGTCCTCCACAGTGTGGAAGAAGTACTCACATCCTAAAAGATCCTAGAAAGTAAAGTAGCATCCTTTTATAAACTGATCTAAGGTATTGCACAATGTAGTGCAGTAAAAAATATGATAGATTTTCTACAGAACAACAAGTTTACAATATACAAAAAAAAGAAACATCAAACAAATTATTAATGCTTGACTAATAATCAGTGTTGGTATGGTTAATCAAAAAAATGAGTCAACTCATTAGTAAGTAAGTAATTAGTTACACTACTAGTTAAATTACTTTTTTGCTACTCCCCACAAAATTTGTAATCGTGTCCCTTCTCACCACAACCATTAGAATCCAGTTTTGTTTGTTAAAATCAAAGTAATGGAATATTTCCAGTTTCTTCAGAATCTTCCAAGCTAGTTTCCTCCACAGATACAAAAATAAATCTAAGGATGTGATTGGATTGTTGGATTTCAAATCAGTAGGAGGTGACAACAAAAGTAAAGTTGTAAATAACATATTTTATTGCATGTATAATATTATTACTTTAATTTATTAGTAATTAGTTACACTACTTTTTACAGGGGAAAATAATATTATTACTCGTAATGAGTTACTGCCCAACACTGCTAATAATACTATACCATACTAACTTGACAGTCTGGAAAACCAGGGGGAAAAATATGGAGTGGAATAAAGTTGAATGAATATGGTTTATGTAGGTAAAATAAACAAAAACAGTTTGCTGATGTTATTGTGCCGCTGACCTTTATCTTACTAAAATTCAACTGTTATCCATCTTTATTAGTTGCTTACCATTCCATTGCTAATGATTGATAAAAATTGAGGGCGTGAACTTTTTTTGGTTTCTCATCATCAGAAAACGTTTGAGAGCAGCTGATATATTCATATCTCATAATTTCATACACAAGCCCTATCATAGTTACATCTGAGAAGCAAAAATGACTCTTTGGTAGAAATGCTCACAGCTCTTACACATAATATACAGCCCATGGCTTCATTTTAAGGGATTAAAATCAGTCTCTTACAGCTCAGTCCTGTGAAATAATTAATAATACAACTTGATGATATTATTTAGAGCCTATTACAAAACAGTTGGCTTGGTGCCTTCGGGATTTTATTTTGAAGGACGCATGTTTTCTTTGCTTCTCGTGTGTGTGTGTGTGTGTGTGTGTGTGTGTCTTCCCAATTTCCTGCTTTGTATTGATAACAACGAGTCTCTTCACTCTCTTCACGTGTGTAATATATATAAACTATTTGTATGTGAACATTACTTCCTCTCCGGCCATATAAAACCCTTTAGTGTCACTTCTGGGCCACTGTAAATGTATGAAGTTATACACTTTCAGTTATGTGTGTCTGAGTTTGTATTTCATATTATAAACAGGCTGTGTATTAAACCAGGGCCAGTGAAGAAGTTAATTGTAAGATACCGGAGATTGCCGACAATCGCCGAAGATGACGATTTGCGCACGAACCAAGGGGGCCAGTGAGTGTGTGTTTTTTGTGTGCGAGTGTGTGTGTGTTGAACTGAGCGGAGGTGAAGAAGAGGAGGATGAAGCTGGGAGCGGAGGATGGGAGGAAGAGTGGAGTAAGAGACAGGCTAGCTGTGTGTGAATGAGTGAGTGAGAGAGGAAGAGGAGAGGAAGGTCGTCTGAGGGACCGAAAACAAAGACTTGGATCTTTTGGGGATAACCTCCGGAACCTTACTAACGGAAACTTTCAACTTTTTACCCGCCACAGCTCGGCTCGTAGTGCCCGGAGCCGGCTTTGTTTCACGGCGGGGGTGTCTACGATAAATGAAGGAATAAAATAGATCCCCATCGACCTTTTTCTACCCAAGCGGGGAATACCCGGGGACTGTTTTTGTTAAAGGTTACGAGAGAATGGCGGCCAACATGTACCGAGTGGGAGGTAAGGAATGTTTTACATTTTTAAGACACCCCCCACAACGTGATTGTTCGTTTCGACAGCAAGGTGGCTAGCTAGCCGCTAGCTGTCTGTTCGGCTAGCCGCTAACTAATGCTAGCTCTCCCCTAGCGTCCGTACGTGCGTCCACTCTTGCATGGAAGAACGTCAAATCTATTAAAACAACCAACAATGTTAGCCAATGGGGAAATGTAAATAACTCCAACATTATGACTTAGTTTATACTTATGTGTATTTAGTCGGAAACGCTCATGCATTTGGTATAAGTACAACACACCAAGCAGCCTTTATTTATAGAAAATATTAACTTTTTACAACACATTGGCGTGATATCCCGACTAGTTTCCTCCTCCAAAAATACGTTACCCCACCGCGGGCGGCTGCCGAGCGGCGTGAACCGGCACTGAAAGTTGCTATTTAATTTAAAATAAACGCAGCCTGGTGGATATTGGAGTTTACCGAATTGTATTTGTAGTTTCAAGTAAGCGAAGCAACCGTAATTTGTAACATTATCTGACGTTGAGTGTGTACATACGGTAACGTCCTGGAAGTGAACACAATGCTAGTTAGCAGTAGCTACTACAGTTAGCTAGCCGCCGAGAGGTCAACATCCAATAAATTGCAGCGACGTCTGTGGTAGCTTGCTAAAGCTGGTCGGCTAGCTCTGTCGCCGTGGTGGATTAATTTCATTATCGCCTCCGCCATATCACTTCACAGGCAGCGGGTAGCGTTAGCCGCGCTAGCTAACTTTAAGTTTTGTTAGCTTAGCGGCTGTGCACTGTATGTGGTTTAGCCGGTTCGGAGTAACTAACGTTAGTTTCTAGGGAACACAGGCGAGAGAACCGCACAAGTTAGCGTTTAATTCATGGAAAAGCTCAACTAAGTCGGCACCAACTTGCTACCAGTGTTTCATTTTCAGCGTCAGTGAGACTTTCATTGTGTACCGCTACTTTACCACTGCATGGAAACCGTAGCATCTTTTCAAATTAAATTAGGTGGTATAATGGACATTAACTTTCACAGCACGCCGTGAAAAGCGTTTGTATAACAGTGAAATGTAGCCCTATTAAGATCCACTCATTCGCTAACACCGCTGGTATAAAGACTTCTTCTTTTTTTATCTATTCACTTCAATTCACTTTTTTGGCATGACACACATTTACACTGGTAACGAACAAAAACATAACTTGAAAAAAAGTAGAAAAAGAAAAGCAGTGCTTATATTTATAAAAGATAGAAATAAGTGAGAACTCCTTTTTTTTTAATGTGTTGGTGCCTCTGTGTCCCTCAGGTTGTGCTATGTCAATACATATTGGCCTTGTCTCCTTCTCATAGGATTATTTAAAATTTTGAGTGCTCATTTAGATGGTTGAAATCTAGGATTACAGAGTTTAATTGTTAAAAGAAATTATCCTGATATTATCCAATGTTAGTGTTACATTGAAGAAGGAAGTGCATCTGTCTCATCCTCACCTGTCCTGAAGCGACCACATACCCTGTTGTCTTTTGGTGGCCATGACTAACCCCAGTTTCAGTGGTCCTTCCATATGGGCACTGTAGCTGTAGATCCGTGGCCTCGTCTCCTCAGTGCTTGTGACTAACGTCCCTCAGCATTAATAATGCTGTTAGGACGTGGTGTGCCTTCTTTGAGTCTGCTTTTCTGGGCTGAACTGACAGAGAGGCTATGTTATCGCTATGTAATGTCATACAGGAGTCTGTAGGCTATTTAGGTCATGCTGATTAAACACTGTTCTGCAGAATAGGCTGCGTAATTCCTACTTTGATCCAGGGTAAATTTGTTTGTTATAAGGTTGCATTGTATTTTCTGTTTCAGTTTGTTCACTGGTTAGAATGATGCCATAATGAGTATGGAGCTCTCATATCCACAGAGGATAGCAACCTCTTATCTGTGTTAGTGGGTTGATGTTGGGCTTTAATGAAAGATAGGGCATTGATTGTTAATATGATTATTAATGCTTCATTTAAGGTGTAACATATGTATAAGGTATGGCTGGCACTTATAGTTTGTAGCCTTTTGTACGTGTTAACATATTTACATTGACCTCTCCAAAGTGTAGTTCTCTATTCTAGTAACTGCCTCCCCTCTGGTGTTACCATTTCTCTTTCAGTAAAGCAACTCCATATCCCATCAGCACGTTTACATCTTAGTCATGAACCTGTGTGCAGGTCAGCCAAACATCCTGAAATGTGAAATTTGTCTACAGGCAAGCATATAATTCACTGTAAATATGTTTTCAATAATAATAATTAATAATAATAATAATAATAATAATAATAATAATAGGTGTCACACATGATATTCTCTTTAGCTTAATTTTGCTTAACTTTGGTTGTGCTTTTAAGATTCTTCCTTAGTTTCCGGTGTATTTTGGTTCATTCCAGTGCACACATTAAAATGACATGTGTGCATGAGATTTGTAAAGATGGACAGATATCGAAGCTCAGAGCTGCTCCTTATGATGTCTGTTTTGTGCACAGTCAACAGGCATTCTGGGGAAACCTCGCACTTTGCTGCTGGGTCTCTCAGGCTCAAGTTCTACTTTTTTGCCAACTTGCTGGATCATGTGTGTGCAGTGGAATTTCCACAGAGGAATGCAGTGTGATGTGGCAAATGTTACTGTAAGTCTAGCTTGTCTAATGCAGATAGCAACAAGCACATGATTATGTAATGACCTAGAAATTGATTTTGAAGTAGCCCCCACAGTAACAAGGTGAAGTTGTTTGCGAGTGAAATGCAGACACAGTAAGGAAGACATTACCGGCATTGTTGTTGGACCTGAACCTGTCACAATGAGTTTATACTCATGCAGCAAGTGTCCGTGGATTTTCAGCTCAATACGGTGTTCTGTTGTTGCAGCCGGCTGGTGCAGGCACTTCTGTATGAGCGAGCGCCTATATTACCAGTTCTCCAGAAGCACACAGTGTTCAGCTTGCATGTAAGATCATTATCTCCCCCAGAGATTAGTCAAAGGGCTTCCTCCTCTTCATTCACCCTCAAGCACCCGGCACACTGCGCCACTCCAGCCGTATACGTCCACAACAAACACTCACTGCTGCCTCAGCAGACTTTCCGTTTTTAGATCTTTTCTACCCACTGTTAATTACACATTAACATAAAACCTCTTCACAGGCCACATGATTATGCCGTGTGTGTTTCTATAAGGGTAGACGGTGTGAACCCTCTGAAGTCCTGTGTTGTTGTTTTTCCTGGATCATTGATCCCCCCCCCCATGATCCATGGCTGGAATAAAAGAATAAGTCCCTCCTTCCACCATCACTACGTCTTAAGAGCTAGAATTAGTCATGTCAGGCACATGAGAGTGCAGATCCCCTCTTGGAGCTCCAGCCAGTGTTATGTAATGTGGTTGCTGTTGCGTTCCTCCACTGTGAACAAGGAGGTGATGCTTCCCTGGTCGGACTCCCCATCAGCGTGCTAAGTAGAGCAAGAAATCCTCTCCCCGTCTGAATCCTTCCTTCCCTGTCCCCGCTCGTGGTGATGCATCAGAAAGCCACTGATATCCTCCTGAGGCTCTCCGTCCCTGCTTGTGGGAGGACCAGATGGAGCTTGACGTGAAGCCACACTGCTGTGCAGAGCTGCATCAAACAGAACAAGGAGGCACTGTCTGTGGTGTGATGGGTGATAAGTGGCTGGCAGGTTTGATCAACACAATGTTTAAAATCTCAACTCTGTGATAAAGCTGCCAGCAGCTGGTAGTGTGAGCCCACATCAGCAAATCTGAATACATTTACAAAAAATAATACCAATCCAGTAATTACAAACCTTTAACAAAGTACTATGACCTCCTCTAATTTAAGAGCCAATTTAGTGTTTTGCATAAATCACTGACTAATGCACAAAGTGCACAAAATAAGATTAAAATGACAACTCAGCCTTGTTGCAGTGCTACATTAAAGTGTTAAATGTGAAGCTGTTTGAAGGGGCTGTATTTGTATCAGGGCACTGTGGCCAATCTTGTAGAGCGGGCTAAACAAAAATATTTCAGTTTAATTGCAGTTTTCAGTTAAATGATCTACTATTGACTTTTAAAACACTGAAGTCAACCTTTGCACCCGTGCACTGTCTTAGTGAATGTGTGCACGTTTGTGAAGTGCAGGCCGTTGTAACTTGAATGGTACAGTTGCTGCACAGCTGCATGTGTCAATGTCTACACTGTGAAAACGGATATTACAGTGTGCATGAGAATGTGACACCCTGGCAAGTGCAGGGCTTCTTTCTTATTCTCATTCAACAGTTTTGCACATGTAGGCATAAAAATATAGATGTCATGTATTAGTCTTTGTTTGGATTTACTCTATGTGCACATTATTATTTATTATTTAATTATTTTAATTGCATTATTATGCAACTTAAAGACATATACACAAAGAAACACAATATGAAGCAAACTATAAACCATATATGAAGCTGAAACACTGACAGGAGAAAAGGAAAGCTGTAGATGAATGCTTGATTGCACTGTTTGGTCAACAATTTACTAATTGGGACAATTACAGTTTAGTTTATAATCTACATCGGCATCTGATCACAAGCCTTTGCATTTGCACTCTAGCCCCAAAGAAAAGTGCTAAACTTTAAGTACAGCAATGGTGTTTTGGGATGGGATGCCTACTGGCCCGACAAGACTTTCCCCATAAGCCAACACTGTAAAAGAAGCAGTTGTAAAACATTGGATTTATATAATTTTATCACCATTCAAGTTAGCCGAGGGCTTACCCAGAAGTTAGCGGCTCAGCTGGCAGAAGTCTCTATTGAGATCTGATCTCTGCTAGTGTAGGCCCAGACCATCTTCAGGTGCTGTATGTTTGATTCATTGTGACCTATTCTGTGTGCATACGTGAGTTTTTATATAGAACTTTCAGATACAGAGGGGTTGCTGGTACCAGGTGGAGATGGGTGATCTACATTATCCTCCTCAGCGCAGAAACTTTACTTCACTAGTGTGGCATCAGTGGCTCAGTCTGTAGGAAGGGAAGTGGAGGGTCGCTAGTTCAAGTCCAACACGGACTATAGTCTGGAGTGTGGACTGCTAGCTGGCACTGCCGAGATACTCCCGAGCAAGGCACCTAACCCCCAACTGCTCCCGGAGTGCTCTGTGGCAGCCCTCCCTCACTGTGTGTAAGATGGCGTGTCAGGCCTATGTGTGTGTAAACACGGAGTAAATATTCTCCCCATTGGGGATTATTAAAGTTCTTCTTTGTCGTCGTCTTCTTGTGTTCTAGTGTCATAACAGCTTTCACTCTGTTAGACAGTGTTGGAGTTAATACCTATAGGATTTCACTTAAATATGATTTAGCATGTTGTTACAGCGCCCCTCTCCCAGTGTCCTTCCAGTTCAGTGTCTCTCATATCTGTCCATCGTAAATTAAAGTCACTTCGGAAGTCATTTTACTGACACCTGCTTTGTCAGTTTCCTTCTTTGCCTGACCTGAGGTCAGTGTTTGGAGCTGTGATGTGTGGAGTTAAGGTTGACTGCACTGCTGACTGCGCGCCATGACTAACCGTCATCCTGCTCTTGACCTTCTGATGCGACTTGGAAAAGTCTCCTGAACAGAAACAGGGACTCAGTGTTATTCACACCAAAGCCACAACCTGAACCTTTTAATACAGGAGAGCCATTTTAGCTGCTAGATTCGATCCAACTAAGCTGTTATTAATTATATTATATTATTATATTAATGTGGCTTTATGGCCCATAGTCTGAGACATTTCTGTGTATATTGCACCCTAACCATATTTCAGTCGATCTGTTTCCCCCTCTGCCACACTCATTTCACTGGTAATAACAGTCCAGTTGGAGTATAAGCTGGGTCAGTGCTGTGTGTGGGAGGAATGGGTTGTGCTGTGAAGAGCTCTGGATTGGATGCAGGGGGTTACAGAATATTGGTGAGTCAATAAAACCCAGAATACACTGAGATAAGACTGGTCTCTCGTTGGGGTTTTTAAGGCTGCTAATTAGCTTTGTTTGCAGTAAGGGTGACCGCAAATAAATGGTTCGGTATGTACCTTGGTTTTGGGGTCACGTTTGGTACGTTTCGGTACAGAGAAGGGGAAACAAAACTTAACTAACTAAAATATTCACATTTTTTTTTAGAAATGTAATCATTTAATGGTAGCTCTGTCCTGTTCAGTTACTGTAGCTGTTCAGGTTATGCTGTCGCAAATGACCTGTTTAAAGTGTTTCTACAGACACACAGTTTGACTAACCTGGCTAAACCGACCAGCGTCCTACAGCTGATAGACAACAACTGGTGCACTGCCAAAACCTTCCGTAAAACTCACGCTGTAGAATTTCTGTTCGGTGTGTGTGTGTATTCGACTTTAATAGACTACTTTGAAAGTATCTGTTTGGGTCAAAGGGCAAACTGAACCGAGCCAGTTACATACAGAACTGAACGTCCTCTACTCCTAGTTTTCAAAGCTGAAAAAAGCAGACTTTTCTTTTTCAAATCCAGCAGCATTTCCTTTTATGTCTTAACAATAACATCTACACATAGGGCTGGGTGTCGTTCAAACATTTTCCATCCCGGTTCCTGAACGATTTCAATACTGATTTTTATAGAATTTATTTTACCAAAAAGAAAATACATTATACACTACAGTAAAATTACTCACTTCAAATGAGGAAGCTGTTCACAGACCTGGGTGCAGCTGGACAGACAGTTTTTACTGGAATTTGGTACCAACTAACAAGATATGTTTTGTAGTTATAAACATAGTTTGAGATTTCCTAAAATGGCTGAAGCTCTGCCACACCTGGTCAAACAGGAAGTGCTTTCAGCAATGGTCGTCCCTCCACTGCCAGCAGACCTCAATTTCTGAGAAAATTTGCATAGGAAAATGTTAACCCACCTTGTCTGTTGGACTGAATAAACCCCATTGAAACACATTATCTTTTTTAAATGAAGAATTTATTACAAACCATTATAGACGATGTTACATTTTTTTATTTTTTATTTACATTAGCTGGGATGCCCTGGTCCAGGGGAAATGTGCTAAAAGTTTCTACTGTAGTAACTGATGCACGCTCAGAAAAAGTAGCAGGGCTGCACAATTAATCGAATAATAACCACAATCACAATTTTGGCTTCCCACAATTAAATAAACATGATCATCTATGATAGTGACATTTAAAACGTGTGCTTGGCTCACAGAAAACTCAGCTGCAGCTTTACATTAAAAGCATTTAACTGGCATAACAGAAATCAAATTTTATTTTGAAGTAAGATAGTCACAGGATGTGCAAAGTGTTTGTCATTTAGCTTTACACTTGCCACTATCACTAAACAAAAAATGCGTCTACAAAACAAGAAGAATTCTTTGACAGCAGATCAGTTCGAAATATATCCTTGCTCTGTAATAGTGAAATAATAGTGATCTCAATAGTGTTCAAAATAATTGTAATTATCATTTTGGCCATAATCGTGAAGCCCTAAATAATAGTCAGGTTTACATCCTGTTTTGTATTCACAAATTGAAAATGCACATAAAGACTGCACATAATGGCTATAACTTCTTGGCTGTACTTGTGTGCAGCTCTGTTAACCTGCTGTCTGGAGAACTCTTCATCCTCTGCAGTGATAAAGTACCACTCAAACAGACGCATCACTCACCACTGAAGCAAGCCATACAAGATCACACTAAACTCTTGGATCAGTCTACATTAGTTTCATGTTTTATCTAACCCAGGTTTTCATGCTCATCTGTGATGTGAAAACGTCAGATATTTACACAGGAATATAAATATGAGCGTCCTGCTCATAGTGACGTTATAAAAAATCCCAGTTCACCATGGAGCGTCTCTGCTGACAGAGCTGTCAATCAGCGGTCCGGCAGCAGAGACGCTCCATGGTCTCACCAGACGGCAGCGGAGGATGTCGTACCAGGGCCTGGTTCAAAAGTGGCTCAGCCAACTTCACTGACAGTCAGCAATGGAGCAGAGAACAGAAACCATCACACTGCCCTCTGATCCCTGCACTCTTCTCGGTTTGTAAAGTTTAAATCCTGCCATGCCGTTGCTCCTGCATTGCTCTGTGGACAGTGACACAGATTAAAAGAAAAAGTGCAGTGATTTGGCTGACAAAATGCCTTCTTTACTGATGACTCAAATCATCAACTTTAAGGGGGCAGCATTAAAAGTTACTCTACATTTCTTATCAGTGTCATTCTGTAAACGTCCTCCAGTCAAATAAAGCTGCTGCATTCTGTGGTAGAGTGCACAGTTTGGATACCGATGGCCCCCGGGGAAAGATCCCTAATGATTTTGGTGAAATAAAACAGTGCAACCTCTGGGGTCTGCTAGCAATTTCAGACTTCTGGGTTGACTAAAAGGCTCTGCCTCCAGCCACATCACAAACCAGGTTTACTTCAGAATACACACTGTATGCAGTTGGCAGCGATGGGTAGCATGGGCCAAGAGGCACACATCCCACTTAATTGCAAAAATAGTATTCCAATAGTAGCAGCAGTATCCTAGCATTATTTTTTGTTTGGTTGGTTTTTAATATTAAAATCCTGACTTCTGAGTAATTCAGTAATGACCCCTATATGGTTCTATCCCTGACCTCTAACCCTAGCTTACATCCAATCAGCTGATCATATCTCCCGAAGCCAGCCTGGATAGAAAGCCTTCCTGGAGCTCACATTACACCAGTCCGTTTACCGAGCTGGTAGGGTCAGGCCACCCTAACAGCTCCTCAGTGTTGTACAGACAGACTTCCAATTAGAGCTGTGTGTGTCATGGGTTTCTTCCTATCCATCAGGTTAGCCAAAATGCTCTGAGTACTGCCATAATAGCCGCAGAGTGTGTGCAGAGCTGATGAGGCTCAATAACAGAAATGTGCTGGTGCCACTGCACTAACCTGATGTGTGTTTGGGGTTGCTACAATGTATTGATATTTACTTTACTTGGTTTATTGGGTATGGTCCTGCATTATTCCCCTATGCAAACAACACCTAATCTTGTTTTGTGCTGTTTTTTCCAGATTACGTGTACTTTGAGAACTCCTCCAGCAACCCCTACCTGATCCGCAGAATAGAAGAGCTTAACAAGGTTGGTTGTCTCTCTTTCTTCCTTCAACCTCATATGTTTCTATTAAAAAGTATAATACCTGCTAGTGTTGTGTCGTCCTATTGTATAATAGCCTAACCAGGCTGTGTTTTCTCAGCTCATACACCACAGACAGAAAATTCAGGTTAACCTGCTAGTGTGTTAAAGTCCTATATTGGGATATTCGGTTCCAGCACACGCACCATTTGCCTCTGTCTCTCCTGCACGCTGTTGGTAAACCACGGCTACTGTAATGACAGGACACTGGTACAGGAGCCACTTATATAACAGCAGCAGCAGCAGCATATGACACAGGCTTGTTTCCCAGTCAAAGGATTAAGCTCATTTATGTAACACTCTTACATGGAAGGGCTTGTGCTGAGCACCAGGAGGACCGCATCGTCCTGAGTGCTAATGGCTGCTGAGCACAATGAATGGATAGTAACAGAGAGAGTGGCCAGCTCTCCATCTCCTGGCTGGAATGTGGAGGGAAGCAATGTGTGTCTGTGTGTGTGTGCTGTGTGTGTGTGTGTGTGTGTGTCTGTGTGTGGTCTGTGTTGTCTGTGTGTCTGTTGTGTCTTGTGTTGTCTGTCTGTGTGGGTGTGTGCTGCTCTCTTTCTTCTTATGATCACAGTCAACCCAGGGAGAATGAAACCCCTCATCATCGGTCAAACCTGACTACTACATATCATGGTCTTCATGATAATACCAGTATAAATCTTAATGTCAGTCGCCTGGATAAACAGGGATGATTGCATTAGGAAGGGCAGCAGCATAAAAAGCCTATGCAAAATCAAATCTGATATTGGTGACAGAGGCTACAGAAAGCTGCTGCTGACAGTACAGACAGACTGAAATATAACGTTGTTACCTTACAAATATCTTTAAAGCTGATCTCTGATCTGATCTCACAGGAAATTATATGCTCAAATTCATCCAAAATGTCTTGTTTTACACACAATTCCTGGCAGTTCTTATGTCACTATTGACGGTATTGTACATTTTATCAGTTGTTCTGATAAAAATGTATTTTGAATACAATGTTATTATATCTGATAGAACTGATGGACAAAACTACAAACACAAGAGCTGTGAGGAAGCTCTGCACAGACTTTGCTAGTTGTTGGAACTGTTGATTGTTGATTAGTTAATGCTTGGTATAGGTATGATAGGCAAAACACGATGTGCAGCTTCCATCTGCTCATAATTCAAGTGTTTTTTACATGCAATTTATTTTAGCTCACTTACATAATATACAAAGAATTCATGTAAATGATTGTAGCAGGTCGCGCTACACGCGACCGGTTCCTCAGGCGACCCACAAATAGATCACCAGACGTTCACAGCCGCGACCGTTCTGCACACAACACTTTTATTCTGAGCCGTGCTCAAATGGGCACAACAGTTGGCAGTCTAGTGCTCTCGGCCGTGTTGTCACGGGAGTACTCCTCGTGGCGTCTCCTCTCCGCGGCCAGCAACCTACTGCCAAGGATAAGGGATAAGAGTCCCTTAATTAATATCCAGCAGTGATGGGATCAACTCACCTGGCCGCTCTCTACCAAGCTTCCCACACCCGTCATCCCTGCACTGAGGCGCAAACCACCCACCCCCTACTCCGCCCACCAATGATCACTAGAACCTATTAGACGTGGCTATAATTAACCCTTAGCATAAGCAGGGAATGAAACCAGCAGAGCACTACCCAGGTAGTACCAGTGCTTTATTACGATGCTCACCTGTAACCACTCACTCTCCATTTACAGACAGCCAATGGGAACGTGGAGGCAAAGGTGGTGTGTCTCTTCAGGAGGCGAGACATCTCAGGCAACCTCAACACCCTGGCTGACAGCAATGCAAGTGAGTAGCAACCAGAGACAAACTTCCCCTCAGCTCCTTTGTTGTTCCCGACAGCATGAGAGCAGGTATGATACGGCTCGCTGCCTTTAACGAACCCGCTCCTCATTGTGTTTCACATAAAAGCCTCAAAGCACCTCTTCAGCATTTATGTAGTATACTGCACCAAGGCCTGCTTCTGGGGTTAAAGACCAGCACTTCTGTGTACGGCTCAGTGCTGAATGCTGCTTTGGAAAAGGAATGGTTAAAGCTGCAGTACGTAACTTTTCTAAAAATAACTTTCATATTTGCTGAAACTTCACCTATATCCCGCAGTAAACATGCAGACGATATTCTGTTAAAAATCAGTTCCCCGGCTCCCCTAGTCTCCTAATGGTATTTGTGAGAATCCACCAGACCTGAATGAAAACCAATCAGAGCTGATGAAGATGGAAAGACGCTTTTGGTTGGTGGCTAAAAGATAGTTGATTGTTGAGTCTGATTCATTGGTATCAGCTATCTTTCTTGGCTCCGATTGGTTGTTTTCATATCAGGTTAAACATTTTCTAAATATTGTCTGTATTTTAACAGCCATTTTGAAACGCTATTAATCAAAAGACAATAAAAGCTGGAGCGGGATCACAGCGTCTGGGTTGGGACGATAAACAGTGTCATATGGGTTTGCTGGGGGTGGCAGCAAAGCGTTAGCAGCACCACCGTGCTGAATGTGGTTTTGCATCGCTATGGTCAGGCCAGTTTATTTCTGACACAACCTCATTCTCATATTCTATTAGATGAAAACACTGATAAACCTCTCTGCTCTTACGAGCTTGCCATCTTTTCCCCTCTTCCCCCTTGCTGGTTTAACATCCGGGCACAGGGATGCTGGCTGTGCTGTGACTCTGCAACATCTTAGACGCAACAAATCACAGACGGCGACATTTGTAAAAATAAGCATTTCATACATTTTGCTCAGCTTATCTGGTGGTGGTGGGGGGTGCTGGGTTCACCTGAAGTTTTACATACCATGAATGACACCACTGAATCACGTGACGATCCCACACCCCAGTGGAGTTATTTCTAATAATGACAACGATAATGTTAACAAAACCTTTCAGTATGGGGCCTGCCACCTCTTCACCCCCCCCCACCCCCGTGAGCCCAGCCTCCGTTTTGTGTGTTTAGAGAGCTCAAGGAGGTGGGAGGGTGGAGGTAGTGGGATGGTGCTAATGGCATGCAGACTACTGAAGCCTGATCACATTCACTCATTGCCCCCACCCTGACACCAACACTGGCTCCCCCTCCCCTCCTCCTGGGCTGCACTGCTCTAGACAAAGACATACACACACACACACACACACACACACACACCTCAAAATGGATGCATTAATGCTGTTTTTCTTTCATTGCCTCAGCAGTGCACAGATGCTAAGTGTTTGGTCAGTGGTCATTTGTGGACAAGTCTGAGATAAATACAGTGACTGTTATTTCATCACGTGTCTGCTCTTTTAAAGGGTTTTATTCCTTTTAGAGAGACTGAGACGTCTACCTTACAAACTAGGCACAAAATGAACAGACACATTTATGATGGCGTTTCTTTTATACGTTTTTTTTTTTTTTAATGTATTCTCAATAGCAAATGCACAATTTCACCAATATCTAAGACACATTCTTATAATAACAATGCTTTGGTTATCATTTTCATTTGTATCACCATACACTGACACAATTATTTTGTATAGTTAGATTTTCTGCTTCTTTGCTATATGTAGAAGAAGAAGATCTACTTTATTGATCCCCTACGGGGAAATTGTTTTTTATACACACACTGGCTGAAATGCACACTTCATGCACATGTGGACACCTGCAAAGGGAGAAGATGGTGGAGTGATGTGGGCATAGTCGCCGTTACCCAAGGCTGGTCAG